GCCCCGCTCGCACCCCGGGGGCAGCTCCCCTTGTGACCTTGCTGGGGCGGTGGGTGCCTCTGCCCGGCATCGAGGCGAGGGGCTGGGCAGGCTCCAGGCCCTTTATTGCACCCCCTCCCGAAGGAGAACCCATGTTAGGAAAAACCTGTGTAAAAGCCCCTGAGCCCTGGCAGCAGCCGCGGAGGCCGGCGCGAAGGGAGCCTCTTCTCCGTTTCTCGGCAGTTCGCAGTGATGGAATGGGGGTGGCAGCGGGCAGCATTCAGACACTGTCCCAGCCCGCTGTGCGGAGGAGAAGAGGCACGATTTAAAACGGGGAAATCTCACACAGATTTGTCCCCAACTACCTGAACCTGGGAGTTAAAACTTGCTTGTGGGAGAAGACAGTGGCTGGGCTGTGGGGCTCTAGGGATGTGCACCCCTCTGCCCTGGGACCTGCCAGCCACTGAGTTTTCTGAGGGACCCCCCCGCTGCAGGGGGTGACTGATTCCTGACTCCCTATTCCTTAAATGTACACACACAAAGTGCTTCACCATGAAACAGAACTCAGTAATATGGTGATATTTGGTGATCTAAATCCTAACTCTGTGCTTAGCAAGGCATTTTACTTAAAATACAGCTGCAGACCTTGTTCCCAGGTGTCATCTATGCCCATAGACAGCCAAAGCAACTGCGTTATAAGATATTCAAAAGCACACAGACCCCAAATCTGTAAAAACAGCTGGGCAGTACCCCAAGTGGGTGGTCCAGCCACCCCTGAAACACAGCCAGCCCTGCTACCCGAGGCCGCCAGTGCCTCCCAGTGCTCCAGCAACAGATCATGCCCAGTCCCAGTGGCTCCCTCCTCACACTCAGCCCAGCAGCAGGACCTGGCTTTCTCCAAAGGCTCGTCCCTGACTGTCTCTGCTCCCTCACCATGTGCTCCAGGAAGATCCTGCCCAGCTGAGGTGCTGCTCCAGCGCTGAGGTGCTATGGAGAGCATTTCAGGGCAGCATCTCCCCATTTACAGACTATCTTTATGATTTATTTCCCCTTCTTTTTCCATTCAATTCTATTTTTGTGCTTCGTTGCTTTTTTCTGACTTTCAAAGGAAATACTACATCATGATCCAGCAATGACACAATGGCACACTATTAGAGATTGTTATTTTCCAAAACAACGTGCAGTTCTTTTTCACCATTTCAGTGGATTTTGACTGGGAGGTGAATGGTGGGTGGTGGTAAAGCTGCCTGACAAGAGCAGTGTCTCTTACTATACTTCTTACTATGAAACAAAAGATAACTTTGATTTGTAACTGTAGCATTGCTGTCTGCTCTTTGCCTTTAACCTTATCAGTCGTATGTGCTACAAATTGTGCTTTGCCACCCTGAACACTGTGACAGGCCATCAAAATTTTGAAAGCTTTGCCAAGCAGCATGCTAAGATGCTATAAAATTCTCTTAGTAATAGAAGTATCTTCTCTATCAGATTCAGTAGCAAAGCTTTCCTTAAAATGACTGGGGACAGAGCTAATCCTTGTGTCAATGGAAGGCCAGTTATTAGACCAGTACATAAATTAAAGAAGACTGTGTTTTATATGTATTACCATATTTCTATCTACCTAATTAAAAGAGTTGTTTTAAAACAATCCAAATCGAGGAATTGCATTTGGTTCTGGTTTCTGTTAATAAAAAAGGAAGATGTTTATTGAGAAGATATTATCATAAATGGGAAGTCATCAGCACTGAAAGATATCTCCCTAATCTATCTTGATTCAAATGCATGAATCAGTGTCCTAAGCCTTGGCCTAAGGAAGGATTTAATTTGTTATGAATTTTAATTATTACCTTCGTGTTAAATATTTAATAGATTGTGACATAAAACCAAATTACAGTCTTGAGAGTGAGATACCTGTAAACATACTGCACCCGTTGAATGGTACAGCATGTTTTAAGAATAGTGAAGGAAAGATACCTCTTAAATTAAACTTTATTTTCAGTTGAAAGGGTTCTGATCAGCCCAGAAATTGTGGTTTTGTGCAATATGTTTTAATACTGCAGACTGAAAAATTTTGCTGAGTCCACTTGCACAAAAACATATTAAAAGATACTTTGAAGATGATGAGAAAAATTTACAGGTAACAAAATTCTGGTCTTCCATTTACCAGAAAAAAAACCAAACAACCAAACAAACAAAACCCCCCCAAAACCAAAACAAAAAAAACCCCAAACCAACAAACCAACAAACAACAAACTTCTCTCTATGCTTGGAATTGTATTGCTCTGTAATCCTTCATCTGAAGCCTGAATTGTGTTTTCAGCAGATTCCTATTAATGGGCAAAAGCAATAGCCATTGAACATGCAATCCTATTTGCTCCATGAGTTACATTATCTGAATCCTAGCAGGCTACAGTCTTCCAGTGCTACCAACCTAGTGTGAACTGCATTTCATTTTAGACTATTTCTTTTCACTAAGAGCATCAATGTAGTTTTGCATTTCCTGATATATGGGTAAGGTAAATGATTTGGGCATAACTGTATTCCTCTTAGTTATATATAAGAAAAAACAATATAACTTTAAACAAGAATTTATATTTGCATTAAACCCAAGCTCAAGTTTATACCAAGACAATATTTCTACTGAAATCTGTGCAAATTTTGACAGAGCAAGCTCTCCAAACTTGAATCACAGTTTATAGGAGGTTTGCATAGCTTATGATGGTCACCTTTACACAAGGAACTCATTGAAATGCAAGTGAGCATTCTTGTAAACAGGAGAAAAAAACCCGTCTTTTTCTGATGTATCTGGTTTTGTTTTGTTTAATTGCTTGATGAAATTAATGTTACACTATTGCAGGAACAAAGCACATCCTCATTAAACGAATAGCTTGGAGGATGTTTTGGATACTGTAATTAGCTGCTTTGAAATATTTATGTTCTTCCTAATGTTGCTTGAATAAATGTTAATTATGGCTAGTGGAAAGGAAATCAAACAGCTGAGTATGTGAAAACATCATCTTCGCCATTTTCAGTGAAGGCAAGGTCAGGAGGTACGTCACTGAATCCGCTCACTTGC